TGTAAAGTAGAATTATGTCGCGCCGTTATAGCGGGACACGAGGCTGTCTTTTACGAGGCTTCCTGCCAGGTGTGGGTTTAGTTAGCAAGCACGCAAGCAAGCGAGCGAGCGACTACTAAAGGCTACCGAAAGTTTTCTCGTCGGAAAAACCATTAGCCTGTGTGTCTACGCGCACAGCCGGCTGCCTCTCCTCTCTCTTTCGCGCGAGGCAGGCGACACACTTTCGTCGTCGGCTTTGTCGCTCACGACCGCTCTCGTCGGCGGAATCTGTTTTAAAGTATTAGGAAGCGAGAACACCCCGGTCGACCGCAGAGTCGGGCAGTAAAAATTTTTCCGCGCGTGGCCTATCGCGGCGAACTTTTCCAACGTCGGATTTTCCCCGCGTGTCAGGCCGCCGGGCTGACGAAGACGAAAGTTCGGGTAGAGCTCGCGAGAAGCCCGGTCATTCGTTGTCGCGTCAGCGCGCGTAGTTTGCCCGCGAAAAATCGACTTTTGTGAGCAGCCAGGTGGGTACATTCGCGCGGCGAATGGCGTATCGACTTCCCTCGGTTTGTTTTTCCCCTCTTCGCGCGTGAGAGATTATTTCGTGAAGTTATTCGGAAAATATAATGAAAAACCTCTCAAAGCAGAGGGAAAAGGGTTCTCGTCACTCGTTCAATTATGATGAAAAATTAAATACGCGAGCATTTTACAAAACCGGACAAACAAGATTGATATTTAGTTTCGCGTACCCCATCGAGGGGATGTTTGTTTTCAACTCGCTGATATATACATAAAAAAAAAAAGGAAAAAAATAGCGAGCGTTGAGAGAAAGCTTCGTGGTTTCGCGGTTACCAGTGCACTATATGTTTACCGTTATATTTGACAATGATACGTAAAGGTACGAAGTAAATACCAATTAGTGTTGAGGTAAAGTTACAATATAAAATATAATCGTACGCGTCCGGCACAGCCTGTTACAAATTAAAAACACCCAGACGCTTTTTGCCCGGAGCTTTGTATCCCCTGCGGGCTAACGCGTATTGCGTATCGTAAATTCAAATAACGATATCGAATTAAACACTATTAAATAAATGCGCAGCGATTTATATACAAATAAAAAATAGCGAACGTCGCAGAACACATCGGTTCGATGGAAACGTCTCCAATTTCGGTGGTGTGAGAATAATAAGTCCGTTTTCCATTCCCTTAATTGTCGAAATCTTTGCATTTGTGTGCATTTATTACAATTTATTAAAAAATTACGTTCTATCTCGGTAATAAGGTCAACCTCGGTAATTGGGATTTTTACCCTACACTACTTATTGTCTAAAATACCTATTTTTATTTCGTCCGTTTCGTAGTAAAAGCGCGGCTATATGTCTAGGTGGTGTACAAGCACGACTCGAAATTAATTACTAATCAATGCCGAGGCGTCGTGCGGCGTCTTTATTAAAAGAGTTCGCGGGTCGGGCAGCATTTACTTAACCGACGCATCTCCTCCAGGGGCGGTCACGTTAACTGCGCGTCGATGTCATAAATATGTGCCCTTTTTCTCCCTTCCGGTGAATTCGATTCGAGCCGTTTCGCACCTACGCCGACCCATTTCGTTCGGCCCGGTCGGCACCGCGTTCTATTATTGTAGCTCGAGTAATCGATATTGACTTCTCAGTCTCTCGTGAGCGGTATAAACGTTCCTCTCCCGGTTCGCTAACGCAATTCGGTGGGAAATGCAGCTTACTTGCTGCATTAATGCAACTATATATAAATGTAGCTAAACTTTGATATATATACTTGACCGCATATATCTTTATGTACTTATGTTTTTTTATACTTTTAATATGAGAATATACGCGGAGAGAAAATATGTTTTATAAATAAGTATACATTTTTTTCTATACCGAGAGAGAATTAGAGCGAAAAAGAGAGAAAGAATTGAAAAGAAGTGAAATTGAGAAAGAACCGATATGCTCCAGATACACGCACAGAGAGCGCGAGGAGCACAATAAAAAAATGTTATGTTAAAACCGTTTCCATTGAAATTTTATCTAACCTAAAGGGGATGTTGTGTACGCAAATATAATGTTAATATTCACCTTGTCAACATATGTTACTTTTTAATACACTTCTCCCCCGTGTTAAAGTTACATCAAATTTCGGTGGACCACTTTTAATACAATTTTTTACTGTGAGGAATAACGATTCCAGTCTCGGGGGACTTCTTCGTCACGTTGAGAAATTCGGACTCTTTACATTACGAAGACGAAGGACACACGACGGTACTAGCGTGAATCATCGGTTGTCCGCTCGAAATACGCACTGGATATTTTAATCGGAGATAAAAGGTGCGGTCAAGACGTTACGCGACGCCATGGTAGCCGTCGCCGCGAATTCGCCTATTTGCCTTGTAAAATTGATTTCTTTCTTTCCACCAGGCGGAGGGAGAGGAGGAGGTGGCGCATCGGTCAGAGGCTACAGCCGACGTCGTCTTGCGTTCGGTGCCGCAAAATTTCCGGCATCACCGTCGCCCACGTAGAGACACAGGCCGCTGTGCACGAACGCGGTGCATCGCCGAGGCTTTCACGGCGATTGCTTTTTCGGCGTCGTTTGTCAGCCCGGACGCTCGGCGAGAAATCATTCGATCGTAGAGAGGGCGGAGGGAGAGAGAGAGAAAGAAAGAGAGAGAGAGAGAGAGAGAGAGAAGGGCGAACTCGCCAAGAAACTGAACCCTCCTTCACCGACTACTTGTATCTTTCGAGACGCACCGTCGCGTTTTATGCACAGGAAAAACACGAGGATAATTTTAATGTCGCTTTTATGAGAATAGCATTGGAGAACGTTTTTGTCTCTCTAGCGTTAGCGATTGTAATTGAAGAGTATTCAAAATTGGACGGAATAAATGAAAACTGTCATAGACAAAGAGAGAGAGAGAGAGAGAATGAGGAGATCGAAAAGGGAATATTAATATTAAAATTTATCCGGGAATCCGATATTAAAATTTAAAAAAGCGCTCGGGAAGGGACGTATATTTTTTTTTATATAACTCGCGTCTCGACTTTAAACTCACCTGGAATTAAAAGGAAAATTAACTTTTCGTTTGATGTTATTAAGAGCTTTTACGTGCGTTCAAATAGTTTCTCCATGTACTCGAGCGGCTGATTCTATCTTGAGAAGTTTCACCAATCACGATCGAGAATCATTTTAACGCAACTTTGAATAATTTAAACTGATGATTTAATTTCGGTGAAGGTAAAATTATTTCCGATGTGACACAAACGATCTCTCTTTTGGTTCAATTCAATGTTAAATTGAGAACCTATTCGATGTAATCAGAACCGAAAAATAATCGTAAATTAAATTTACGGACTTAGCGACTTCATTTAGCGGATTTCGTGGTTGCCCTCGATTTACGGAGATATCGAACACGCGGGAATTTACGCAAAATATAAATTTCTGCGAGCAAAACGTACGTTACGATTCATGTAAACTGTGTACAGACTGTAAACTTTCCGCGATCACGTGCGCGAGAAGTTTCCGCGCGTCAAGAAAGAGCATCGGCGGCGCCCACGACGCGCGTCACCGGGCTATTTACTCCCTTATTTATTATTTTTTGTGCAGGCCATCCGCGTCCCGCCATCCCTGCTATGTCGACACACGCGAAACTTTCTCGAAGGATTCCCCTGGGATCGGTGTCCGTTTCCACCACGAAGTTGCGCCCTCGAGGGTGGGAACGGCAGTTCGGTAACTTGGGGTTTAGCTTCGGGGGTGACTTCGGGATAGCAGACAGACCGACACGATGGCATCGGGAACTTCGCGGAGTTCCAACGTTGACGGCGCGAATTGGCGAAGGTGGTTAACGATAATGCCGGGTTCCACGGCGAGAATTGAAAGACAACCTCGACGACGATTAAGAGACTGCGATTCATCAGCAACACCGTTTTGTTTGGACTTAACGACGCGATATGTACAATACATCGATGCGTTTCTCTCTTTTTCTCTCTCTCTTTCTCTCTCTTCCAACCGTGCGTAAAAACAAACAAATCGAATCCGAGTGGATTATAAACGAATGTGGCGACGGCGAAACGTAAGGTAGCGCGCGCCCATGCGCCAATCTCTGCTCGAATTCCGTTAATTGATATGCCGGCGAGAGCGCATGCTAATTAATTCGCTGACAAATTTCATTCGGAACGGCCATTCGTGCGTTCGAATTACGCAGCGAGTTAACTAGTTCCGATGACGATCGTGCACGATGACACGCGCAAGTTGCAAGTAGTATGCGTGACAGACAGTGTGTCACGCAAACCGGAAGGGCTGAAAGAGGATGCAGGGGGGAGAAAGAGGAGGAGAAGGGTATGCGGGACGCATCGGCGCGCTCGCGCCCGAGGGATCGTTCATAAATTATGGACACATTAATTATAACGGAGTTTGCGGACGCGAGTGTTTAGATTGACTTGACGGCGAAATGGCCGTGGCGCGTCTCTCGCATGGTCGCGTCACGCGTTCAACGTTGCCCCGATATGGTCGGCCAGGGTGTGTGCAAGGGGCCCGGATATCAGCTTAATTAACTAGCCCGCGTGAATAACACACTGCCGAAGCACACGACCCGACGACCGCGCGCGGTTAACGCGTCTATTGTACCGAGACGATTCCCCCTGTCTCGGGCTCGCCGGCGTTCATCGGCTCTGCTCCTCGAGGCATCGAAGTCACCGTCATCGACGGCGCGTAGAGACCGGCGTGCTCGTCGGCAAGCTCGAGAGAAACTCGCTGTTATTCAACTGTAATATTTTCCTTTGGATTCTCTCCCGGAGTCAGAAAATACGCTAGTTGGACGATACGAATTTCGATATTGCGCGGGACAAGATGATTAGATCTCGCGAAACGAGTGTACAACAAGGGGGTGAAGAAAAGCGCGTTTTAAGAAGCGGTCGAAAGTCAGTTCAGCTAGCACAGCACAGTGGTTGACATGCGGCTTGATACGCGGGATTAGTGGAAAGAAGTGAAGCAAGAAGTATGACACAGACCTCAGAGGTGTTGGCGACATCATTTGTTGGGCTACTGACCGCGTTGTTGGAGTGCGTTTGATCCGTCTTGAGTTCGCGGTGATTGCTGAACTGCACGTAGACCGCTCTGCCTCTCAGTTGGGCTATCGCGGAAGCGTAATAGGTCACCATGGTAGCCGCAGAACCCTCGTCCGCCAATTCCAGAAATGCCTGCAACAATAGAAAAAATCTCTCGTTAGTTATCACGGCGATATACGGAAGTTCGGCTACAAATAATGCTCCATTATAAGCGAGAGCACAAGAAGATCGTGCAACTGGACGGTCTATGTGTATTCATAAACATATCCCAAATATTGGACGAAGCCTTTTCTCTACGATGCTAGTTAGTTATCCGGCTTGTTTTGTAACGTACGTACGATCTGTCATCGCCTGAGTCGAATGACGGTTTGACCTATAATTTTCAAGTTTCGGAAAGAACCTTTAACACAAAGAAGTAAGAAACGTTTTTCTTCCCCCGAAGTAGGATTTGTTTGTGAAATCAAACTGGGATCTCAATTAGATCCCAAAAATGTTCTATACGGATATCTTTATTAGCTTTATTTCTCCGATGTCTCGTGTGACCGATATTCACCGATACCGCACTGCTCGCTTGGTCGTTCGCGATAATGACGTCCGACCACGACAGTGTTTTACCACTCAAGGAACAGCCCGTGTACTCTCATCTGACTCGATTAAGTAGTTACGTAAGTTATGCGTTAGACAATATTGTCGGCGCTATCGCTGAAACCCCAGTCTGACATGTAAACACGCTCTTCGCTACTTTTCACGCCAAATTCGTTTTCCTACACGATACCTGAAGTGCAAAACGTTTTATGAATTTATTGTAACACAAAACCTCGTTACAGGATATCCAATTCGCGATGAAACGGAAGACACACACGAGTGTCCGATTCGTTCGGTTACTTGGAGCTAGAATATGATCTCGGGGAAACCATTTCGCGAGATCTCTTTCCGATTTATACGCGGCGACGTAAACCATGAAGGAAGAAACGGAAAGCATTTTTATATTTACCTCGGAGCGCAAGTCGTAATGGAATATCTGAAACTCGCATCGCGTAAACACGCTCGGGACAGACGGCAAAATTCAAGCGAGACCGGCGGAGAGGAAAAAGCGTGAGCGGAGCAAACTTGCCGCAAGGAGGAATTTCATTTTAATTACGCCGTGTCGCAGCGACGATAGAATACACGCGATTGGCTCTCCGCGTGTAATCGCTCCTTCCGTCGGACGCTATCTCACGAATTTCACTCGCTTCGATAAACGCGTCTTTTTATTCAGACCGATTCCTCTCTATCGTCTAGTCTTGTATTACGTATCGTAATAATTTACATTGTTACTTTGTCGGAAATAAAAGTGGACCGTGCAGGCGGAGAAAAAGAAAAGCGTCTCGGTCGTTCGTGAAGGAGAGAGAGACTCCGAGAGAACATTTCGCCTGAATTCCCTTTTCCTTTGAGTGTTCATAAAATTAATAATCCCGTATTTCTGAATGTCCTCGTGCGCAACTCGGCGTAAAGGAAAATTCCCCGAAGACTCGGTCGCGAAGTCGCATCCGCGACAGTCAAGTGGTACGTTTATCGAGGAAACTTACTAAAAAGCATTACACCGCTATCGTCCCCTGAGCGTTTTATTATCGCGACGAGAGGGGGCGAGGGAGGAAGGTAAGAGGCGAATGCACGAAGAATGAGGAAGAAGACCGCGATTTCGCTGAGGCGGAAATCGAGCCGGAATATAGAAAGTAGATTCGTCCAGGGGAAGAACGAGAGGGAGAGATGGAGGCCGAGAAAGAATTAATAAAACGTCGCGTAATCGTCGTCGTCGGCGAGGCAAGAGGTTTCGCGATAACTGCATTTTCAAGCTCATAAGCGGCGGATAAGCAAACGGATGAAAGGCGGATGACAGGAAGGAAGGAGAATGTTTATGAACAGATCGCGGTTATATTCGTGCCGTGCCGTCGAGTTATATGAGCTCTTCGCCGTTCCTCCCTCTTCTCCTCCTCCTCCCTTCCGCACGATCCATTTTCAATTCAATATCGATACTTTCGGCATCGCTTGCTTCTTTTCTGCTTTGGAGCATCCTCCTCCTTTCTTCCGCGTCCGGCGCTCGCCTTTTCACATCGAATCGATATTACTTAAAGCCTCATCGTGTCTCCTCGTCATGGCCCGTGAAGAAGGACGCGACCATTATCGGCACAAACGAATGATAGCATGGCGCTCGAGGATCTCGGCGAATCAGCTGGTTTTTGTAAGATTGCAAGCGCAAACGCGAATGGCGATGTAGAGAACATATTTTGTTATGCTTATTATTATGCGTCTGGCTCTGTCATCCTTAAAATTTTATCATCTCGCGCAGGCAAAAAGCTAAAGAAAGTAGTATAATCATCGGATAACGTCTGCGTTGTAACGCACCTTTGTGCAAATTTTCCGCTTTGAGACGGATTCAACGTAGAGAAATACAATTTTATATGGACAAAAATACCTGTCTCTCTTGCTTTACGTCCGCGAGCTCGCCATAAATTTCCGCGAATTTTCACCATCGAATGACGAATTATCGAGAATATGTTGCGTCATACTTCCAGTAATTATACAGCGTTCCTTTGTTCACATCTCGAGCGCAAATCTATCCGCCACGTTTAAGTATCTAAACGAGTTTCATGCGATGCATCTTAGTTAACTAACGAAAATGAGTAAGTGGAACGGAGAGAAGCAACAATTCAGTTTGCCGCGTCTCGACAAAGTTACGGGGTTAAGACGTCGCTGTAATATCAGCGAGTAAAACGAATATCCGTCGCTCAAATGCGAGCGGATGCTCGGTGACGTCGGCGATAATTCCGAGGTTTGCGCGAAGAAATCGGAGTGAAAAATTTCGAGATGGAAATTGAAATGAAATTCCGGGGAGGGCGGGAAGGAGAAATTTTGAGATTCGCGCACCAAAACCAACGCATCCTGCGAGTCTTCGAGCTGAGCCAACTTCTCTTTCGCGTGACGAACTAACCGGCAGAATTATCACGATATTACGCATTATTTCGAATTTACTATTTCACCCCCGAGCGCACACATGTCGGCGCGTTTTGGATTTGGCGGGAACACTTACGCTAATTACGGCGCATGCAGCGGACAAATTAATTAATTGTAAACGCACAACTCAAATACTAAGCAAACAGTGGTATTACTTCATGCGGTATTTGTATTTACTTCGGCGAACTATCCTTTGTATCCGCACACTATGATCTGCGGCTGATATAATCTTTCAATTAGTGAGAAAGCAATTAGTAAATGTAGCATGTTTACGATTGTTATTCGCGACGCGTAAACAACACGCACATGTGTACGCCAACGGATGTACATTATTTTAATCAATTTAATTGAACCGCATGCACAATTAACATAAATATTTTAAGAACGCGCGAGTATCATAAGCACAGCCGTTTTGTTTTCATCGAATATATCCGCGAACATGAGGCAGTCCGCATGCGCTTGTCGTTATTCGTCAGTTTGCCCATCCGAAAAAAATTACTTGCACATAAACAGACGCGCGCGTGCATCCGTGTAGAATTTTATTTTGCATTAGAGGAGTGACCCACTTTTTATTCGCGCAGAGATCGGAAATATTTGCCGAATGAACCGTGAGTACTTGAAAAATATTGGCCAAGTGGCGAGATTCGATATCGGTTCGAGAATGTTCGAGGAAATAAAATTTCTCGTCGGTAAATTCAAACGTAAATAAGAAAAGTTTGCTTTACCGCGTAAAACGTGTAATTCAAGCGGCGATTATCGTCGAGACTCTCCGGATCGCCGCTCTTTCAAATTCGACGCGCGTCACTTTTTACATTCGCCGATGGATTCATCGTCGGGAATGAAAATTTGAACGCCCAAACGCTTCGCGGACGCGTCGCCGCAACGGTGGCCGACAAATCGCGTGACACCATTTCGCGCAAACGAAATGCTCCTACAATCATCGAGCGATAAAATTCGTACTTATGAATATTTATACGATTCGTTCCGCGGTGATTTTCCGATGACTATCAAATTAATACACGCGAAGAAAATGTCCCAGCGAGAGGACGTCACACCACAGGACGAGAGAGAGAAAGAGAAGGGGGAGGGGGGGGAGTATCAGGAAGATAAAAATACACACGGTTCGTTGGCGGGAATCGAGTTAGTCGGGACGAACGATCATTCATTCGCATTTCCATGAGGGCTCGTCATCTCGCGCGGCACGGTGCAGAGCACGACGCGTTGCACCTGTGCAGGTGCCGGGCAGCACATGCGAGTGAGCGAGCAAACGAACGAACGAACGTACGGTCGGCACAAGTGCGAATAATATCGCGGCCGGCCCGACCGACCTGGATTTAACGGCGTTAACTCCGTTTCCAGCGCTAATGACGCATAGAGCCGCTCAATTGGGTTTTCGCGCGAATGGGGACGAAATCCTGCGCGCCGGGGAGCCGTTGAATCCAGGATCAACACTTACGTCGACGGACACGCGGATCGCGCGCACACGTAACTCTCTCTTCGTTGCTCTTCACCCACCTATCTTCCTCCCTCTCGCGCGCGCGTTACGTTATTAAGTACACCGCGATTTTCAGCACAATCATCTATTCGGGCGCGCGATGTTCGCTCCACGTTCGGTCGATCGGCACAACGAGATGGAAGAACGATGTAGCGTCTATCGCGACGTGACAATCGCGTCCCACGAGCGAGGAACAACCGTGCGGCAAAATGACGCGTCAGTCTCTTTCAATCGACGACGCGTCAGTTCCGCACGCGGAGATTCGCCGCGTTCGCTATCAGAATAATAACGATCGCGTATCTGCGATGGATGACAAAGGAAAGAGCAATTTCCCGCGATAAAACGGCCAGGAGCGGTCAGTTGCTACTCGCGAATCGTTCCAAGAATAAACGACTTGTGGTTTCCCACGATGTGTACGTATATTACGAATCGCGGCCGTTCCCGATAAAGAGCCTTTTGTTGACGCGAAACAGCGCGCACGCACGCACACGAGAGCACGTCGAGTCGCGTCAATAATTATCGAGCAAACGGTTACACCGTTACAGTCGGCCGCTGTATCTCGGCAAAGCCGAGTATTTATGAACGATTTTCTCCATGTGTATTTTTATTTTAATTTTTTTTTATTTTTTATTTTTGTTTATCG